GGCGGGGACCCACACCTGGCCGACCCCTCATCCTCATCGGTGTCACCTGGGCGGAGCCTCAGCCCCCCACGCCCTCCCGTTGCAGGGAGGAGCTAGAGCTGCAGCCACAGAGGTAACCCCTAGCCAAGGGGGCAGTGGCTCCGCGAGCCCCCTGGGCTCCAGGGACAGGGGACAGCCGGGCAGAAGGTGCTTGTCCGTCCGCCTCCTGCCCTGTCCCTGTGTCCCTCTGATGCCTCGTAGCCCCGTCCAGGCAGCTTACTGTCCCGCTCACTGCCCCAGCCCTGCCTGAGCTTTGCGGGCAGGAAGAGGCCTTCACAGCCCTGCCCGGCGAGGGCCCAGGGCAAAGGCAAAGCCCCAGCCGCTCTCCCTGGAGGGCCGCCTAGTGAAAAGTCCCGCCAGCCGCAGCCGCGGGCAGAAGCCATAGTCCCGCCTCCCGCCGTGCACCGCCGCAGAGACGGCTCCGGTCTCCAGCACCAGTCCGGGTCCTCGCGGGCTCGCCCCGTCTGCAGCTGACGTCCGCTGTTTGTATTTCTGGTTTTCTACGACTCCAGCCGTGCCACACCCACTTCTCGCAGTGTTTTAATACCGTGTGGAATTGTTAATACGACGTGAGCTCGTACACAATAAAAAGGCTCTTCCTTTTCTCCCGGCTCTGGGTCCTTCTGCTCCCTCTAGCCCGGCTCCTGCTCACCCACCGCCTTCACCTGCCGGGGGAGCCGGAGGGGCAGCCGCAGCGGGCCTGCCGGCCTGGAGGGGCTGAGTAAGGGCCTGGCCCGCCGGAGCTGAGCGCGTGGCCTGTGTGGGGCTGCCTCTGCTTTGCACCCCTGAAAAAAGCACCGCCTTCTTTAAGAGCGGTCACCGGTTAGAGCATGGGAAGGGCTGGGGGCCAGCCGGGGGCGTGGTGGCTAAGGCGGCTGGATCCCACATGGCCCAATGCGCGGTTCAAGTCCTGGGCCCAGAGGCTTCAAATCACGTTGGGCACGTGTGCGTGCATGCCCCAAACCCTCAGAGATGGGAGATGGGAGAAGGGACTGCAGCGCGGCCATCCCCCGGGTGCAAACAGGACCCGGTGAGAGCAGAGCCCGGGGCTCTCACCCGTCCGCCCGCGTTCACAGGAGCACGAGGCACACCGCTCTGCAGCGGGACCCGAGCGGCCATCAAGGAACGGGCAGATGAAGCGCTTGTGCTTATCAGCGCACTGGGCCACCGTGCGGTCCGCCCCTACCGTGCGGCACTCGGCCTTGAAAGGGACGGAAACCCTGGCACCTGCCACGAGGTGGATGGCCCCTGAGGACACGAGTCCTGTGAGCTGAGCCACACACCAAAGGACGGATCCCGTGTGAGCCCACCCACAGGTCCCTGGAGCAGGCACATCAGAGGCGGGAAGTAGAACGGGGCGGGGATGGACGTGAATGTGTAACGGGGACAGTCCCAGCAGGGAAGAAAGTTCCGGCTGAATAACGGTGAGAGTACGCAGTGCCTCTGGTCTGTTCATTTGTATATTTTACTATAAACACAAAAACTGGGGCCGGCCGGCAGCATGGCAGTAAAGGGCGTTGGACTCCCACATGGCCGACCACAGTTCGAGTCTCGGACCTGGCAGCTTGCTTTCTCTCTCTCTCTCTCTGCCCCTCTCTGGTCAAACTTAAATAAATAAAGTTAAATAATCATTTAAAAAAGAGAAACAGAGCGACAGGAAGTCTTACTCAACAGCCACCTGAACGCTAAGATTAAGGAGCTGGCGTCGGGGAGGAGGCGGAGCAGCCAAACTCCCTGAGAGTGGGAGAGGGGGAGAGGCAGAAGCACTTTTGCGGGAGGGTCTGGCAGTTTCTCATAACACTGAACACATGCCTGCTCTCTGACCCAGGGACATCTCAGGCATCCAGCCCCCGGTGAAGGCGTGAAGGAGCTGGGCCCATTCATGCCCCGGAGTGGCACTCAGCGCTGGAAGGGGCGGCCTGGCCCGTGCGGCAGCGTGGGTGACTCACAGGAGCGTGTGCGAGAGGAGCGTCTTACACAACAGGACAGTGCGGTGCCAGCTGCGTGACACTCGAGACCTGGCAAACCTTGGGGTCTTATCTCTAGAACCTTCCATGGGGTAAAAGGGACTTTGCAGGTGTGATGAAGATTCATGAGGGAGCCGTCACGTGGCGGGGTGGCCCACGGCCCTGGATTCCCACATGGCCGACTGCAGTTTGAGTTTGGGACCTGGCGGCCTGCTTTCTCCTTTTCTCTTTCTCTCTGTGTCTCTCTTTGGTCAAATGAAAAATAATAACAACGATTCTTTAAAAAGAATTCTTGAAGTGGGGAGACCCAGTGTCACCACAGGGGTTCTCCTAAGAGGGAGGCAGGAGGGTCAGAGATGCGACCACAGAAGCAGGAGGCCGCAGTGATGTGAGGCGAGCCAGGGACCACAAGGCCCTCTAGAAGCTGGACAGACAGGGAGACAAGTGGAGGAAGCTGGTTCACGAAGGCTGCTGCTGCCCGGCCCTAACCGTGTGATTCTGGAAAAGGCAGAACAGCGGCCTGGTGCTAAGGGGGCCAGGGCGCATACAGCCGAGTGCTGTTCAGATGTGGCCCCAGCAGCTCGAAGGACACGCCGGGCCCGTGTGCGCGCTCACAATCCCGAGAGGAGGCGTGCAGGAGGGACTGCAGGGTGGCCAAGCCGCACGGGGGTGCTTCCTCTCTCCCCCTCTCGTGAGTGCACGTGCCCTGTGGCAATCAAAAGCCAGAACTATAGATGAGTGCTTGCCAGGGCTGAGGGAGAGGTGGGGAGGACGCGCATGTGGAGTCCAGAGGGCTCTCAGGTCAGTGGAGCTCTCCTCCGTGGTACTGCGGTAGCGGACATTCAGCGAAACCCGGAGTGCAGACGCCGGGGTGACCGTGAATGCAGCGCCGAGCGGGTGCGGTGCACACTGCAGACACCCTGGCCCTGCAGGGGGACGGAGGGCCCCTGCCCCACCGCAGGCGCAGGCTGACAGGAGCGATGACCGCGTCCCTTGCTGGGCTGCAGCAGCACGCCCAGATGGAGCACGTGTTCCCTCCAGATCCTGAGACCCCTCAAAGGAGGGCTGTACCTCCTCTTCGGGGTGGGAAGGGTCAGAGGCAACAACCTATCCCTCGCTGCCGTCACACAAGAAGAGGATCACGAGTGCCATCAACGAAACGGCCTTGCACACACTTTATTTGGAATAATTAGCGAGTTTGTTTTCGTACTAAAGACAGGGTACAGGAGACTTCACAAGGCTGCGTGGTGAGGCCCGGTGCTTATCTAAGCAAACGCATTAACCCTGTCTATCTGGACTTCTGTCTGAGACCAGCTGCCGGCTTCCAATCCCTCCCACTGGGATCTCCCATCATCCCGCCGCCTCTCCGGTCCCCACGCCTCCTGGCAAGTCCACGTGATTCCCAGAAAGTTCCCAAGCAATGACAGGGCTCTGGGGCCTGGGCAGCCAATGAGGCAGGCTCAAGTTCAGTTTCCCCCAAGGATCCAAAGACATGAAAACGCATCCCCTTCGGGGCATCGGAGGCAGCAGCAAAGTCTCCAGGATTGGGGGCGTTTCCCCTGGGTGGCCAGGTCAGGCTCAGGCTCTGCTACACTGGCGGCGGCCGCGGGGGAAGCCC